CCGGGCCGGGCCGGGCCGGGTCGGGCTCGCCCTGGGCTGCTGGCCAATTTTATACTCTTATCAATGTGAATGTTAACATGTCAATGTGAATATTCATATTGTCAACGGGTCGGGCCGCTTTTGGCTGCCCATGGGCCGCGGCCCAATTTTATACTCTTATCAATGTGAATGTTAACATGTCAACGTGAATATTCAAATTGTCAACGAGCCGGACCAGGCCCACCCCGGGCCGCCCATGGGCCACAGGCGGGGTTCGCGCCGCCACGGGACGGGGGTCAATTTTACACTCCTATCAATGTGAATGTTAACATGTCAATGTGAATATTCACATTGTCAACAGGCCGGGCCGGGCCTGCCCACGGACCGTGGGTGGGTTTCGGGCAGCCACGAGGCGCGGGCTAATTTTACACTCCTATCAATGTGAATGTTAACATATCAATGTGAATATTCACATTGTCAACGGGTTGGGCCGGACCCTCCCCGGGCCACGGGCCAATTTTATACTCTTATCAATGTGAATGTTAACATGCCAATGTGAATATTCACATTGTCAGTGGGCTGGATCGGGCCCGCATCGAGCCGCCCATGGGCCGCGAGCGGGTTTCGCGCCGCCACGGGACGCGAGCCAATTTTACATTCCTATTAATGTGAATGTTAATATGTTAATGTGAATATTCACATTGTCAACGGGCCGGGCCCGCCCCGACTTGCGGGCAGGTTTCGGGCCGCCCACGGGCCAATTTTACATTCCTAGCAATGTGAATTTTAAAATATGAATGTTCACATCATTAAATTGCTAATCGTTCAAAAAATATTTATAAAGGTATCAAAATTGAATATAAGGGCATAAGTGTCCAAGAAAAGAGTGTAAATCAAGAAAATGGACTTTATGGAATAAAACTATACATACATGGGACTAAATGGGTTAAAAAATTTCTTCATGAACTTCTTGGGTTAAAACACTTCTAAATTAGACTTATCAATAAAAATCCCTTTCTTAAATTATTAAGAAATATTACTTTAATCTCATAAACCATAAAGAGTACAAATGAACTTCTTAAATTATTAGCATGTTCCATTTTGACCCCTTCCATTACTGCATTGACATTTTTTAGACGAAAATACCTTCAATACTCTATATAAAACACCCAACATCACTTTTTCTCAAATTTTAACTTTTTTCTATTTTATTATTATTATTTTTTTAAAATTCTTTTTGTAAAAATATATTTACAAAGAATATTTTAAAAAATAATAACAAAACAATAACAATGGATGAATACTTATATAATAATAAAAATAATAACGAAATTGTAAATATATAGAGTCCTAAAAAATATTTTCGTTTAAAAAATATTTACAAGTTTGGTTTAACTCATGGTATAGTAACTGAAGCGGTTAAAGTTAACCATGCCAACAGTTTAGGAGTCCATATATATACTTTTATAATTTAGAGGGTCAAAGTAATATTTCTCAAAAGTTTAAGATGTTCATTTGTATACTTTTACAATTTAAGAGGTCAAAACAATACTTTTCAATAATTTAAAAGCCCCTGCGTAAATAAATAAAAATTATGCAGCTAAAGTGCTCAGCAATTATTCATGCCCCAAATGAATGGCTTGAATTAGTTTGTAACAATGCCATATGGGATATGGAATAGTTTTTCCATCATATGAGATTAAAGTGCAGCTTGTTGAAATAAAAATAAAAAAAAATTAGAAACTTTTAAAAAGATTGGATATCAGATAAACGAAAATTAGATTCGGATAATCTCTTGCTAGATATGCCAATGATCGGATCAAGTTCGGATTCAGATGTTTTGTAATCAAATTGGATTTTGATTATGTGAGGTCATTCATTGGCGATGGTAATTGGAAGTGATGAGGGCAGTGACTGAGAAAATTAACTGAAAGAGGACACTTATAATTACAATTTCGATTTTTTCCCCATAATTAATAATAAATAATAACAAATTTTTGAATTAATATTAAACACAAAATCTTAAATATTTAATACAAAAAAATTTAATATATATTTTTAAAAATTGACCTTGAGCAAAATAAAAATCTTAAAGATAATGTAAACTAGTGTATTGTGAACAATATCTTATATGAATCTTATGAGAAATTATATAATATTGGTGTACTTTTCTCAATTTTTAAATATTATAGTATAACCGTGATACCACATCATTATCATATGGCATCACTGATCAATAGTAAAATAGAACAATACATAAAAAGGCAAGCCCCACTTATCAAATATAATTAAAAATTCAACACCCTCCAGGTTAACTATCTAGTAAGGCCTCATTAAACTATTGCCAAATGTGTCATCCATAAAAATAAACATTAATTATTTAGAGGATGTGCATTACCCTTATTTAAAACTAATGGTAAATGTGTCATTTCACATCAAAAATGACTTATGGGATCACAATAATGGCCTAATTTGGATAACCTATTTTGAATCACATAACTTCTCTACTTTTTTTTTTTACACAATTAAAAAAGAAATTTTAAAAAAAAAAAAAAAAAAAAAAAAACCAACTTTTAATCAATTTCTCAAAACAAACCATTTGTCTGTAAGTCAAGAATATAGAATTTAATAGTATTAATGTCTCGTATATATATTTAAATAATATTTAAAAAAAATCATTACCAAGCTTTGAGCCAAGCTTGAACTTGATTAATATTAACGAGCTAAATCGGGCTTGAGCTCAATAAATAAACGAGCCGAGCTCAAACCCTACAAAATTCTGCTTGGCTCAGTTCACTTGCAATCTTCGAAATATCTACAAGAAAATGAAACAATACCAGTAATGTCCCCATTCATTTTTTCAATCCTACTTGGAAAAATCTACAAGAAAATGAGACAATACCAGTAATGTCCCCATTCATTTTTGCAACTGTAGCAAATATTGTGAACACCAGATAAAAAGCTAATAGCTGAAACAAGAAATTTTAAATAAACTTCCCAAACAATGACAACAGTATTACTGAACAAAAAAAAATAAATAAATAAATTTGGTACACATGAGTACTGGATATTTGAGTCCTTTAACATCAAGTTAGGCAATAAGTTACTACTAGACCTATAAGGCTAATGGTATGTGCAAATTATTTTTGAAGACCACTGATCTACCTGTCCATACACTTTCAATCTCTGGATAACAGAGTAGAGTCGGTAAACACAATGAATTTGTTCACACTTTTTTAGAGTGAACAAAACACAAGATATGATTGGTCAAAAAATATGAGCCTTATATTCAAAAAGTGAATTGACCCTACTAAAAATTATATATTGCATTATTTTGCACCAATCAAAAAATGTGAATAAAATCAGAATCATGAACAAACAATGAAAAATGTAAATGGATTTAGAGCCTGGGTAGTTAAGCTGGTCTCACTAATCCCTTGTAAGTTGAAAAAAGTAGGGGAAGTAACCATTTTCTACCAGCCCACATTGTTTGGAAATGGTAACAAACTTAAAATAGATTATTCTAAACCACTTCAGAAATAATTATTTACCTATAACTGGATTGAAACTTTCTATTGTTTCCATTTTCACGCTCTTACAGTAACTACATTATTGTTATTTATTTTTAATTTTTTTGGAGGGGGGTGGGGAGCGATTTTATGATAATTAACGTTCATTTTTCTTTTATTACAATAGAAGTAATGGCATGGATTGGAACAGGGGACAGGGCAAGATTTCATTCCCATAATGGACCACTAGGACCAGTTGAGAGTAACAGGATTCTATAATGCATACTCTTGGAAATTAGTACAAGAAAAGAAATGACAATGAGTAATTTTCCTCTTTGCATATTTGCAACTGCAGCAAATATCATGAACACATGATAAGCTAAACAAGAAATTCAAGTGTAATGGAGGCTCTAAAAGTAAAAATCCCCCCAAAAATCATGACAATTATAAAAATTTCATAACAGATTACACACCCAAAAAAAAAAACGAAGTAAACATGATGCACCGATGCGCAAATGTTCTGCAAACATCACAGACAACTGCAAATAGACCCAGGCAACTCACCAGATGGAAGTGCGAAATTAGTTCAGAACTATTTTCAGTGAGAAAGTCTCCGAGAATGCTTTCTTGATTCAAATTGTGAGTTTGAACACAGACCTTGCATGTGCCCACTTCTGCTACCCACCGAGTTCAAGTCCAAACCCAGAGGAATGACACCATTTCCTCCTTCTAGTATTCTCAGCACCTAATAATTTACAACAAATCAGAAAATATCTTCAGTTTAAGGAATCTACCTATTTAAAAAAAAAAATACACCGAGTGTAGTCCGCCATTGGATGGACGTCTCAGGTCAGTTTAAGGAATCTACCTCTCAATGCCAAAAATAAAGCACTAAAAGGTTAATAAGAAAATATGCAAGAAGATTGGGAATAAAATTAAGGTAGGAAACCTTTGACATGGGGGGTCTGGATTGAGGATCTTGTTGTAGACACAATAAGGCAGCATGACCCATTGCATGTACTTCCTGAGGCAAGTTGTGGAGTTGGTCAGAGGCAATGAACGGATCCAGCAACTGATATTTATTTGCTAGTCTATGGCCAGGTTCTGGTATAGATAAAAGGTATGAATTTTCGGCTAAGATGTGTTGCAAGTCGATTGGTTTTTGACCTGTAATCAGCTCTAACAATACCAATCCAAATGCATATACATCAACTTTCTCTGTTATTTGTCCACCATTGAAGCACTCTGGTGCAAGATACCTGACATAGAATCAGTTATGATCAAATGATCACAGTCCAAGGACCATATTTCATGAGCATTACTACTTATAGTTGTATATTTGAAAAATAAAAAGAGAAAAAGAGAGTGAAAGAAAATGGAAAGTCCTTCAATCTAAAATAGGTGGAAAACTGGACTAGTTTTTGGAGTAAAAACAAGGTTACCAAGAAGAAAGAAAAAAAAAAAAGTAGTTGTTTTGTTCTTCTCACAGATGTTACTGAAGGATAACAAGAAAAAGGGTTGAATATATTTAAGCCCCATATGATGTAATAATTACCCTGAAGTACCAACAACGCGCTCATCGCATATATCCCACTCGGTGTGCAACCTAGCAACTCCAAAATCAGCAACCTAAACAAATAAGGCACATAATTAGATCAATGAAGCTAAATTTACAAGACAAGAACAAAAGCAAGGAAATATATAAATTAACAGAGTGTGACAATTGTGCCATATTACAAGGGTTGCACAACATGTGATGTACTCATCCAAATGGCATTTATTAGTGTATATAGGTCATAAATGTCAAATATCCTAGCACTCTATGTTGTGGAAAACACATGCTTTAAAGTAATCCACTGAATTTAAAAATATAATGTACCAGAGGCTCATAATCATGGGTTAGGAGGATGTTGCTAGGCCGCAGATCTCTATGAACAATACATCCCACTCGACAATCTTCATGAAGGTATCTTAAGCCTCTTGCTGCCCCAATAGCTATCTTTTGACGTGAGTGCAAATCTATAAGTGTTCTCTCGTTCCCTGTCAAACATAGAAGGACTAACCAAGTCAAAGCATTGTGTTGTGCTATAATTAGACAATATGTTGACCAGGTACATAATTAATTGCATCAAACCATACTAGAACCACACGCATACATGCAGACATACACAGAGAAAACACCCTGGAAGGAGGGGGGAGATGACTAGAGTGAAAAAATATAAAAAATAAATAAATCATACCATTTAAATGGAAGTCCAAGGAGCCATTGCATACATACTCATATACTAAAACTCTGTTCTTGCCTTCAACACAGAACCCAATGAGCAACACAACATTCCTATGTTGTGCACAGCTAAGAAACCTCACTTCCCTGCAGAAATCAGCATCTCCTTGTGATCCAGCAAACTTTAACTGCTTCACTGCAACAACCTGACCATCTTTCAAGACCCCTCTGTGAACTGTTCCATACCCACCGTCTGCTATGAAATTAATATCTGAGAACCCATCTGTAGCTTCCTGCAGTTCTTTGAAATCAAACCGTCTTGGAGGTTTTCCAAAAACTGGTGCCTTATGTTGACATAGTGAGCACAATGGAGGAGGTATTGAGCAAGTTCTGCTTAACGAGACTGCTTGTCTGACGGTTGAGTTGAAAATGTACTCTCTTTCGGGAGTTTGGTTGAGCCCAGGTTCTACCATGTCCTGATTAAACTGTGTAAATGTATCAAGTAGAGTTCTGGTACTGGGAGCTTTGATTTTGTGAGTATTTCTGTAGTTTCTGCTTGCTGGGGCCTTCTCATCAATAGCGTGATTTTGGGGAATCCATAACACAGTCTTATGATTACTAGTTACAGATGATTTTGGTCTTCTTGAGAGAGTAACTACCCTTTCCCTGTCCATGTCAAGTTCTGTAAGTGGATCATTCAAGTTATTTCGTTTATTACTTGGGCTATACTTTCCCTTGTTTGGTCCTTCAAAAAGTGGATTTTGTTCATAGACAAGGAAATGAGACGCCACTGTGTCAGGGCTGGATAATGAATTTTCTTCTGTTGTTCTTGTGTAAGAAGTGCTTGGTTCTTCAGGGCTGCTCACAGGAGTAGAATGCTTCATGTTGTGCCGCTGCAACTTTCCAACATCCAAATCAGGTGAAGAAGCAGCAGAATAGAAGGGGGTTTGGAGTTCATCTGAGGATCCTAGATTCAGCCTAAGAACTTTTGGTTGAGAACCTTTCATTACTACAATGTTACAGTGAAGTTCCTCCAAGCAATGCTTTTGCTCCTGTTTCATTTTTCTGTTCAGAACAACAGAGGCAATGTTGGTTTAGTTCTATTCCTTGCCTTTCGATAATGTGCAGGTAATCATGAGTTCAAAATCTTTTGTAACACAGACATGGTTACCTTTGCAAACACATGTATATAGAAATGTCAACCCAAACAAAAGCCATTAGATGGTTTATTGATTTGCAGCTACGACAGTAGATATATCAAATTGAAAAGACCATATCACCATAATAATCCCCATCAAGTGTCTAATCATCGGAAACTAGATAAAATAGTGCCAAAGCGAAAATAACAAGAGCTTAAAATATAGGAAGTTTTGAATTGGGCCATTGTGTCTATGTGGAAGAGTCAGATATAACTAGTTTTAGTTTTTAGCTATCCACACTGAATATAGATTGCTTTGAAACTAGAACTCGTAATGAGTCAAGTTGGTTTCACAGTTGCAGAAACTTGGACAATTGGGTTGGAAAAAAAAGCTCCATTCAAGAAGTCCAATTTGATGATTTATTTAAATACAAAAACATTATGAAATTTCTAGATATTTAAACATTGAAATAATGATTGATCGATTAATCCTCAGTTAGGTCAGGTATGGAGACCTACCCCCAAACCTAATTCATTTGAAAATACAATTGGATTTGGGGCGACCAAATTTTCATGACTGTCTGGTTATCACCTCTTTATTTTGGATGGAACAACTAGTCATTTTAGTCCAAATTTGAAAGACGTTAAAACCATTATTGCAAGGAAAAAATAGTATCAGTGGAAAATAAAATTAATCATTGATTTTAGGAACGGTTGTAAACAAATAAAATAAAATAAAATAAAAAATGCAACATGTGGACAAGTACAAGTTGCGTAAAAAAGTTGAAGAAACATTTTAAAATCAATCTCCAATCACTGAAGTTGGCAAAACAATTGCATTTAAATGCATCCATACACAGAGCATAACTACAAAAGCATTATCAATAGCAAAGTGTTCCACAAGTTTGATACACTTCCCTACAAGGTGGGTTTCATGAAAAAAATAATAATAATAATAATAAATAAAACCTAATTAAAATGGTAGATAAGAAACAAGAAATAATACTTTTATGTTAAATTACTTGTCCAATATGACCCAGCTGGCTGCATTATTCTTTGCTTCAGACGCTACCGCACCAGAAGGTGTACCTGTTACCACCTTAATCTTCACTCTTGCCTGAATTTGATCATGCAGTTGAAGAATCATCTGAGAACAAGAGTCGGAGATCTGAGATATACACTGCGAAATACAATGAATCTTGTCTTCTTGCAGTTTGTTCAACCCAACAATTTTCCACGGAAAAGGGAAATTAAATGACCTTTATCATGTACTGACATTTTTATGGCACACCCTTCAAATTTTAGTCTCTAAAAGGGAGCAGATTGACAAAATTAACAAATAGAATTCATGTTTGGTTGGGGATTTGGGAACAGATTTAAAAAAAGAAAGGAAAAAAATATGTAAAATTAGATAAAATGTAAGTATATTTTATTCACATTTCACTTATTTTTTCTTCATTTTCATTTCCAAATCTTTTTTTAAATCTTCCGACTAAACACATCATTAAAATTAGCGAGAAACAATAATTACTGTTTATATTCATATAGTAGCGCATAATAGTGCACCAGATCACAGTAAATTGGGTTACACGTAAATTCACTTTCATGCGTAAGTAAATAATGATTAGACGGTTATGTGGAGCATCATGATTGATAATAAAGCAATAATTTATCTAAAAAGAGACCACAACCGCAAGATTCTTTAGGCACATGCGAATCGGTGACCCACAAATTAAATTTGAGTTTTCTCTTCAATAATTTTACTTTTATTTATCACTTGTCTCATCCGATCTCAACAGGTTCAGGAATCTTCTAAAACTTGCCAGAATTCCAACCAAGAAATTTTGATTATCAAATCCGAATTGATAAGAGTGGCAATTGCGTAATTTAGGGAGTCACCTGGATTTGATCATGAAGTTGAAGAATCATCTGAGAACAAGAGTCGGAGATCTGAGATATACACTGCGGAAACTTGTCCCGGTCGCCGGTTCCGCAATCTCCGGCGAGTCTCGGGAAACTCCACAATGATCGCCTACCTGTAAAAAAATACAATAATAATAATGCAAACTTTGTGAATCCAATGCGAGGCATGAAATTGAAGAGAGAGAGAGAGAGAGAGAGAGAGTGAAGTACTACGAGTCTTGTAGTGACCGGAGGAGAGAACAGCGAGCAACGTAATGCAATCGCCTGGACGAACCACATGAGTCAGAGCCCAAGCTAACGCAGTCTTGGAGATCACCTTCTCTGCTTTTACGGCCACGATTACCTTATCCGCCGCCGATTCGACCTCTCTTTGCTTCATTTGAATCGTTTTGGAGGGAACTTTGAGCCGTCAATTTCCGGTAGCCGGGAAATTCAGGAACTTATCAAAGCCTTTCATTCATTTCAGACTGGCACACACTGGCTGTGTAGTGCGTACTCTGTCTGAGTCCTCGTTTTATTAACGGTGGTTACTACGGTGTTATTTGGCAAGGCTAGTTTAACTTAGGGCAAATTATCTAAATAGTTTTTATAGTATGTAGTTTGTGTCATTTTAGTCTTTAATTTTTTAATTGTGACATATTTAATCTTAAATTTTAAATTTTGTTTTAAATAAGGACAATTGAAAATGTCATTAAATTTTTTAAGGGTAAAATTGTTAATTTAATAAAATATAAATTAATTTGATAAAAATAAATGTCAAACAAATATTTTTGAATTTTTAAAAATTATTTTTACCCACATAAAATAAAATTATGTAAAATTGATAAATCTTTTAGACATTTATTTTTTTTATCAAATTAATTTTTATTATGTGTTTAGATGATGATCATGTAAAATTAATTTTAAAAAATTAATCATGTAATTTTTATTAATTTTTATTAATTTTACATAATTTTATCAGTGGTGGACAAAAATAATTTTTTTAAAATTAAAAATATTTTTTTAACATTTATTTTTGTCAAATTAGTTTATATTTTATCAAATTGACGATTTTACCTTTGAAAAATCTAATGATATTTTCAATTGTCCTTATTTGGAACAAGATTCAAAATTCAAGGTCAAATGTGTCACAATTAAAAAGTCAGGGACTAAAGTGACACAAATCCCAAACTCTAAGGTCTACTAGTGTAATTAACCCTTTAACTTATTTTAAGTTAAAATTTATAAAAAATTAAAATATATCAAAATAGTTAATAAGATAATATTATATTAAATTTATAATCATTTTATTTTTTCTTACACAAATATTACATTCAACTAAAAAAAATTTAACAATCTTTCTAAGTACAAAAATTTTAACATATTAAAATAGTTAAAAATTAAAATAACCTATTAAAACCCAAACAAGACCTATATAGCATATCAATATTAATTATGATATTATTATTAATTCTATTTATTAATCACATTATAAATATAAAAAATTTCAAAATTATGTGAAATCAAATCAAGTAATAAGCAAAGGGTATAATTGGAAATTGGAACCTTAGTTAGTTAACTAACTGCAGTTAAATTTGGGGCAGTTTTGAGTGGGGTTGGGCCATGTCCTTGAAATCATGATCACGATATTCACGGTGAGTTATTATCGGGTGTATTAAATGCCACCACACTCCGTTTACGTGACAACCCTATGATTTGACACCTTGTCCCTCGCACCATCTTGCATAATGTTTGACAGCGTGATTTTTTGAGTTTAGGGACCCAACGGCGGCGTTGCAGACCGAATAGGATTAGTTGTTAATTATTTTATTTTAAAAAAATTGTTATAAATCTTAAATAATTTATCAATTTTTTTAGTATTAAATTTTGGTAGAAATTTTAACATAACTCTCACGGTTGTTCGAGGTAGGTCTCATTTGAAAATATATTTTTTTAATTTTTTTATTAAAATGTAATGTGAAAAAATTAATATGTTTGGAATATTTTTTGATTTTTTATAAAAAGATGTGCAAAAAGTAAAGAGAAAATAGAATCTTTGATTTTTTTAGTATAAATTGTTAATTTTTTGACTTTTTTAATAACTTTTTAACTAAAAAAAAATCACCTACCAAACGAGACCTTAATTCATGCATAATTTAACTAATTTGGAATAATTAATCCCACTACTTACTTACAAGGATCTTATTTAAAGGCAATATTCTATTTAGACATAATCCCAAAAAGCTTATTTCTATTAGTGGACATTGAACCTAAGACTTATGGAGAGTACGTTAATGTTCATTTGTTTTTGGTTATAGGAAATGAGATTGGATTATGATAGATGTGAGATTTATTAATATTATATTTGTTTGCAAAATAGGGAAGGTGATTCATAATATTTTGGGACTATGATAGGTATCCATTGATGGAATTAATAGTCCTCCATAAAAGATGGTATTAGAAAAACAATCCTTTGGGATTAGAGAGGGATTTATTATTTTACACTCTATTATTCTACCTAATTGAGCAATGCTAGAGATCCTAAAAATTCTATCAAAAATTTTACCAGAATAATGTTTGGGACCCCCTTTTGGGGGTCACCCCCTCACCCCCTTTGCCACGTGGTAGGGGGTGATTGGAGGAGCAGGAAAAAAAAGAAAAAGAAAAGGTAACCAATGAGAGAGAGAGGGGGTCAAAGGGGGTAGGGGGAAAAGGGTGGAACCCACATTGTGTACCTAATTTATTACTCCACTTGATTAGTATAGTCTTTTCTCAATCATTTTTTTTATTATTCCATCATTTTTTACTTCACCATTCTTTATATCAAAATAATTTTTAATATAAAAATATAATAGTATAATAATAATTATACTAAAAATATATTTATGAAATATAATTTTTAATATTAAAATATGTAATGCATTTATTAGTTAATATATGCCCTAATTTGATAATAATGCAACAATGATATTTGTGGATTTTTATATGGTTAATCCCACTTCCATTTCTCAAAACAAATAGGAATTATTGCTAATTCACTGGTTATCAAACAAATATAATTTTTCTTAATCTCCTCACTAGTAGGTCCCTCACTAAGAGTCCATTCATTAATAATCCCCTTACTAACAATTACACCCAACTTACCTCTGAAAATAAACAGACCCTTAAACTCTAAGTTTTATCCACTAGACTAAAGTTTTATCCGTTAGGCCAACCCTTGAGGTTGTTTGCCCCCACCGAGTAGTTGATTGTCCTTGGTGTGGAGGCTTTTTTTTTGGGGGGGGAGAATGTAAGTGTTATTGGACTGTGTAAAACTAAGCATAACGCAGTAGAAAAATATTATCAGATCATACCTTAGGTGATAGAACCTGAAGTGAAGAATCTCGTGAGTAAATCACGTGCTTCAAGAATGTGAACAACGAACCCAGTAGTAGAGTGATACTACAATATGAGTATCACCTACACAAGTCACAGTATAGAGGCTGGATCGTTCTCATATGGGAGAGAGTTAGAGAGAGAGAGAGTCTGGGAAAAAAAGTTATGAGTAAAAACCACATAACGTATATGATATCAATATATAACTTAATCATATAATCTGATATATAACCATATATATCAATCTATCTATATCAGTTGATATGATAGATATAAGATAGATATAAATATCATGAGTGGTTATCCAAATAAGTTTTGAATTCAAATTCAAACTTACTTGGATAAGGTTCAAAGGGTTCAAAGGGTCATGCCACGTGGGCGCCCAATTTCTAACATCTCTCACTCGCACATGAGTTGGCATGTGTAACGATCTGGAATTTTTTCCTCCGCTCGAGCGGGGGAGTTGACGCTCGAGCGGACTTGAGAGGTTCCCAGCATTTTTGCAGACGGTTCGGAATTCTGAGAGTTGTGAATTCCCGCTCAAGCGTAGGAGTGGTCGCTCGAGCGGACAGCTTTGTTGGTCTGCGCGCTCGAGCGTGGAAAGCGACGCTCGAGCATAGAAAGTGAGATTGCCCTTGGCATTTTTATTAGTGTATTTGGAACCTCCTTATTTTATTTTGGGGTACTGATCGAAGTGATAGCATAATGATAAAGTAAGAGTGAACTAAGAATTTAATTCGGATAATTTTTCTTACGAGCAGCCATCACTCTTTTGCCCTTTTAAATTTTGGTAGAAATTTTAACATAACTCTCACGGTTGTTCGAGTTAGGTCTCATTTGAAAATATATTTTTTTAATTTTTTTATTAAAATGTAATGTGAAAAAATTAATATGTTTGAAATGATTTTTTAATTTTTTATAAAAAGATGGGCAAAAAGTAAAGAGAAAATGAAATCTTTAATTTTTTTAGTATAAATTGTTAATTTTTTGACTTTTTTAATAACTTTTAACTAAAAAAAAATCACCTACCAAACGAGACCTTAATTCATGCATAATTTAACTAATTTGGAATAATTAATCCCACTACTTACTTACAAGGATCTTATTTAAAGGCAATATTCTATTTAGACATAATCCCAAAAAGCTTATTTCTATTAGTGGACATTGAACCTAAGACTTATGGAGAGTACGTTAATGTTCATTTGTTTTTGGTTATAAGAAATGAGATTGGATTATGATAGATGTGAGATTTATTAATATTATATTTGTTTGCAAAATAGGGAAGGTGATTCATAATATTTTGGGACTATGATAGGTATCCATTGATGGAATTAATAGTCCTCCATAAAAGATGGTATTAGAAAAACAATCCTTTGGGATTAGAGAGGGATTTATTATTTTACACTCTATTATCCTACCTAATTGAGCAATGCTAGAGATCCTAAAAATTCTATCAAAAATTTTACCAAATTGCTCACATGGGTGTGGAACCCACATTGTGTACCTAATTTATTACTCCACTTGATTAGTATAGTCTTTTCTCAATCATTTTTTTTTATTATTCCATCATTTTTTACTTCACCATTCTTTATATCAAAATAATTTTTAATATAAAAATATAATAGTATAATAATAATTATACTAAAAATATATTTATGAAATATAGTTTTTAATATTAAAATATGTAATGCATTTATTAGTTAATATATGCCCAAATTTGATAATAATGCAACAATGATATTTGTGGATTTTTATATGGTTAATCCCACTTCCATTTCTCAAAACAAATAGGAATTATTGCTAATTCACTGGTTATCAAACAAATATAATTTTTCTTAATCTCCTCACTAGTAGGTCCCTCACTAAGAGTCCATTCATTAATAATCCCCTTACTAACAATTACACCCAACTTACCTCTGAAAATAAACAGACCCTTAAACTCTAAGTTTTATCCACTAGACTAAAGTTTTATCCGTTAGGCCAACCCTTGAGGTTGTTTGCCCCCACCGAGTAGTTGATTGTCCTTGGTGTGGAGGCTTTTTTTTTGGGGTATGATCCAAGTCCATGTTAAGTGCCTAATGCAACGCATACAGAATGCAATTAGGATAGGCTTGGCTAATCCTAGGATGGCATGTGAAATGCAACCATTTGATGCACATATTCAAGTTAGATTTGAAATGCTTATGCAGTT